GTAATATCAAAGTAATTGGACTTTCGGTTTTTAACAAGAAGTCGAAAATATCACTTTTTACCAAAAATGACAAAAATATTCACCAAAATTAGAGAATTGAAGATATGATCATGAAATGAACAAATCTGAGAGGTCTACCCAAGGTACATATACATCAAGTATCAAAGCATTCAGGCTTGTAGTTTTCAAGAAGAAGTCGAAAAAGTAAAACATTGACACAGACGCCGCCGGACAATCACTCATATGATAAGCTCCACTCGACAAAGTCGACAGCAGAGCTAAAAAGATCATTAAATGTATTATAAAAGACATGAATACAAATATTAGCTATTTGATTCAAAGATCAATGGTTTTTACCAACCTCAAACTCTCCAATAACTTTAGCATACTGCCCAGCACCACCAGTTTGCTTTTTATGTTGATATTCATACCTTTATAACAACCAAACACAAATATAACTAAATAAATTTTAAGATACAGTTGTCAAAAGTTGGACATTGTATGATGTCACTGCTATACATTATGTTACATACAGTATACATAATATGTTACATATAATCAAATGAACGCAAAAAAGGATTACTACATTATCTGATGATAAAATATTCATTCATTAGCAGATATTGATACATTCATATTGCATAGACCCTGAATCTGCATAACATTGATATAGCATAGGTCCTGAATCTAGATAACATTGATATATTGATATCACATAGGCCCTGAATCTGCATAACATTGATAGATTGATATCGTATAGGCCCTGAATCTGCATAACATTGATATCGCATTGGCCCCAAATCTGCACTGATATATATATACATGTATAATCCCAAGATATTTTCTCTTAGGATGCCATCAGCAGACACCAGTGATTATCGTTTTATAACAATCCAAGCTGCATGCAAGGATTGATGCTACTCTGGTAGTAATCATGAATGCCTGCTGACCATAACGTAAAAGATAATATTGTGGGATTATACATTTATAACATGCATATTTACACAGTGTGAAATAGTGAAATAACACCAACTAAAATATATGATTGGGTGCGTATTGTATGCTAATTTTGATAACACTATGGTGTGCATATGCTGTGTTACGATTTTGCTCATTTGTGATATTTGCTCCAAATCGCTGGGATTATTATAAAATTTCAATCGATTTTTTGAAGGGACTGAATAATATTTCTGAAAATACACACATGAGCCACAGTCTGTAGTTACTGGGTCAAATAAAAACTAAGAACTCTGGCAACTTTTAGGCAGCATGTACAATGAGATAGCTCCGCTGTTATCAATGCACATTGCAATTACAGAACAGAAGATATCATTAGAAAATGAACAATATGTATAGTATTAAAGCAATCAGACTTTTTATAACTTTTTATCAAAAATATTAGATAATTAATTAAAATTAGATAATTGAAGAACAAAATCATCACGAACTGAACAAATCTGAGAGGTCTACATGTATGCCTATGTAGTATATATAATATCAAAGCAATTAGACTTGCGGTTTTTAACAAGAAGTCGAAAATATCACTTTTTACCAAAAATGACAAAAATATTCACCAAAATTAGAGAATTAAAGATATCATCACGAAATGAACAAATCTGAGAGAGATCCACATGTAGTACTTACATATGTAATATCTAAGCAATCGGACTTGCGGTTTTTAACAAGAAGTCAAAAATATCACTTTTTACCAAAAATGACAAAAATATTCATCAAAATTAGAGAATTAAAGATATCATCAGAAAATGAACAAATCTGTGAGAGAAGCACCCAAAGTACCTTCCAAGAAAGTTTCACAGCTATACAGTTTGTGGTTTTTAAGAAGTAGTCAAAAATGTAAAGTTGACGACGGCGACGGCGACGATAGACACCGAAGGACAATCGGTAATACTATAAGCTCCGCTCAACTTCGCCGACAGCGGAGCTAAAAAGGCAGTATGTGATGCCCTGTGTTACATCACTTTTTGGTGATACATAAGTCATGCATATGATAATGAGTACTTACGGTACACCTCTAATTAGTGTTTCCCTAAAAGCCACTTTAGGTTTTCCAGTAATTACAGGACAGTTATATTCATTCTTCATTCTCTGTGCGTAAATCTCTAAATGTAATTCACCCATACCTGATACAATGGTCTTAAAGAAGAAACAATACACACATGTAAGGAAAACTGTATGTATGGACACAAAATAAAAATAAAACAGAATGTACTCAAGTAGGCATAGATATGTAAATGACACAAGTATATAATCATTTTATACCCCCGAAAGCATATATTTCAGATATATGTATGCAGTAAAATAAAACAGAGCACATAATACATTTGCTCTATTAGAAGCACATCTCTATTAGAAGAGCACATAAACCATGCTGGGTCATAAATATGTTATTTATTTTGATGTAATCACATGTGCTACTAATAGAGCAAATATAGTATTCCGTATTGTTGCTATAGTTACACACATTAATATAATAACATCATCTAAATCCAGAATTGAATGTATAACTTCATTCATTAGGTGAAGAGTAGACAAATGATTAAGCAGAAAAGAGTTTAAAATTTATAATTGATTTCATTTTGATACCCACAATTTAATACTAAACATAAACTTGATAGTCCTATGAAATAGTAAATCATACTCACTTGATCACCAGATCTATTTATTCAATCTACCCAGTAAACAAAAAAAAGTTTACACACCTCTCTACTTTCTACATCATAATGAACTGTAAATGTTGGATCTTCTTTCGTGAATCTGCCAATGGCTTTACCAAAATTATCAGAATCTTGCTGAAAAAGTATGTGCAAAATGTTATTCCAAATGTAACAGCAAAAATCTCTACAACTTTTACAGTACTCACAGCATTGATAATCTATAAAGCATTTAAAGAAGAATTTGCCTGCTGACATTGTTATATACCATTTATACGAGCCCCATAGAGGTTTTCAGCAGGTGATTAAATTTGGCCACCAAAGTAGTCCATAATTGGCAGTTTCTATACAATCCTATTTTTTCCCCATGTCTAGTGTTGCTGTTCTGAGTTGCCAACTGAGGGCGCTTCATTCATTAGGTCACATTTCTGCAAGTTTGATAGCAAGAAACTGGGTCAGACTTTTCCTGATCTCCAGGATAATGCAATGAAAAAGAAACTGTTACTTGACTCAAAATTAGAAGTCATAAGAAGCATCGCAAATGTCAATTGTCTTTACCTTTTTCTCTGGTCGCATTGACAATGATATAACAGGGTCAGGAACAAACATTGACTCCTGAGAACAAAAAACAATGATATAATTACCATACAAGAATTAATTATTAAAAGGAGAAAAAACAGAAACTGCAACCATTGATGATCAGCAATACCACTTACCATTGACAATGAGAGTTTAGGGTTGGTTACAAATGTATCTCCACTAAAGCAGTCCACTCCAAATAATGCACAAATATCTCCTGCGAATACTTCATTCACATCCTTAAAAAAAAAATCATATTGTGTTTGTTTTGTTTTTTTCTTTATTTGTTTTGTTATGTATGAGATATTACGAGTTAATATTACTATTAAAATAACAAATATCATGATTAAGAGGATATGGATAATTTGGTAGTGTTGGTGCTATTAAAGTCCGAATGCAAGTGACAGATAAAGCTCTAGAAACTTTCAAATATGCACCACGTTTGAACAAAATCTATTCATTATTCCCTGTGACCTTGTTATATAACGGGGAGGGGGGTAAGTGTTTAGACAACAAAAATGGCTGCAAACTATGAATGGCATGTTGTTTATATCTATGATGAGACATACCACATATATTGGTTTGAGTGCAAGATTTAATAGTCACACAGACATGAATCTACACAATATCATTTGAATTTTTTTTTTTTTTTCATTTTACCGTACTCATCTGACTTTGGTCATTATTTGACTTTTCCAAGTATCGATAATCAAATTTATATAATACAGTGTGGATATCCACCACTGTGAATATTTTGTTAATGCACAGACAATGGTAACTGTACAAAAAACACACTTTGATAATAAACTGTTAACAACTGTGAAATATAAATACTTTCCACACCTTTCAAAAATTGCTACCGGTAATTACTATTTTTTTGGAAATTTTATTTTTTTCGCCAAATTAAATTCCAACAGATCAGAGAATTGCATCAGTACAACACAGAATTCTGATTGGTTATTAACAGACTTGACCTATGAAGTCACAGGATGTTGCTGCAGGTCAAATCATGCAAGGAAACATGGCGGAAATTGCTTTGCATCAAGATTGTACACAATTGAACACATTCAACAATGACTAATTTTAACATCGTAAATTCTGGTGGTAGGTAATTAATATTGGAATAAAATGTGCATATTTTTTGAAACCATTTCTGTTTATTCATTGTAAAAGTGTTGTGAAAATCAATGACAACGCAAGCAAGTAAGATGTATATTCCCCTCAATCTGGCACATGGTGAAATTGTCACTTGCATACTTTTTCGAGGGAGGTGCTCAGCTTAGTGCCTACCTGCCTAGAACATATGGTTTTTGGAGTAAACTGGACACTAAGTCATACAAGTACGATAAGTGTGAATCCATTCTTCCTATCAGGAACACAAATATATAGATTCATTGACAAAAGTTATATGTACCGTTAAACTTAATTTTGTTTTACCTATCCGTGTGGGTTACTCACCTCCATTTGGTTGGAGTGCATTCTCACCAAGCGAGGTACACGCACTTTCCTACCAGATCGTGTATTAAACATAGTGTCACCTTTCTTGAGATTACCTTGGTAGACACGTACATATGTCAACTGACCAAAACGTCCAGCCTATAATGAAAGGATGTCATAGCATCACAGGTTGTATCATCCACACACCTACTATTCATGTATAATATTAGCCTATGACACACTCATGTCAAATGGTTGCACAAACAAATATCAGTAGATAAATATATAATATTATACAATTATAATTTATATAATGTATAATTTATACAATTTCATATCTGAAATAAAGAATATATGTGTAACCTCTTACCTCTAGTTTAAATGCCAATCCTACAAATGGATCGTCAGCAGTTCTAGCAGGACTCATTCGAATTTTATTCTCCTCGCTTTGATGAGAAAATTTAAGCAAATGTTAAAATTGTAGAACATAGCAGTGATTCATGGACACAGAATTCCTAAGCATGGTATTTATATATATACAAAATGGACCTACCTATCATCTTCCATTGAGATAGCATAATTATCGACTTGTGAGGGATTTGGTAAATACTCCACCACTGCATCTAACAATGGCTGTACTCCTTTATTTTTTAATGCTGTCCCGACTAATACTGGAGTAAATGCTCGCTTTAGACATGACCTCCTGATGGCAGCCTAACAAGAAAGCACATAAATAGATACAAAGCCTACTCATCACTTTTGAGAAAATTTGTCATAAATCGCTTGACAATGTTCATAAGTTTATTATGTAAAATCATAGAGCTATTGTCCCATGACACCATAAAATAACATTCTTTTGTGTGTTACAGTGACCTATTTTGAGAAACTTGTCCTAATATTTTTCAAAAATGGCTCTATCCACTGCATGTATCAAAACATGACCACCTCATATTATACCCAAAATTATATGTATGGAAACCACGTTCAAACAATCAACCAGGACACATGTTACAAGTTTCAGATACAGAATTATCTAATATATTTAAACAAGAAACTTTCTGATTGGAGAAGATTGCTTTGTATGATTAACATACCATGTCAGATTCAATATTATGTGATCAAGCTACTATCCAGAAAAAATGTTAACTGTCCAAATCTACTTGAATCAGAATAACAGGAAACAGTATATATTACGAACAGCGAAATCATTTATAAAGTATAAAATGAAAATGGAATGTGGATCAGGATTAAATGGCCAGAGACTGAAAATCTGGATTGTACTGAATTTGTATTGTTGTGCAGTAAAGTAGTATAATTCTTACCTTAATCTGTTGTTGTGTTGGTTGCAATTCTTCTAAAAACATTTCTCCTAACTCTTCATCAGCATTAGCCACTGATTCTATGGACAAATGACAGACATCACTGTTCATATTATTAAAAATTATTAATTGTCTTGCACTTCACAGTTACTGTGAGTGATTTTTATATTGTTTTGCAACATATTGATAAGCGCTTCCCACGAGTTAACACTGTTAATAAAATTAAAAAAAATTATGTATAAATCATACCTATAAGTTCTTGTCTCTTATCTCGAGAGACAGCCTGCATCTCACTTGGAATGTCATCTTGTCGAATTTCATTTCTGAAATAATGTAATATGGTAGTTTTAAGAGAAAAACAATTCACAGATGCCACGGACGTCAATTGCCTCCATGGACGTCAATTGCCTCCATGCCCTACCTGAACATATTCAATCCCTTTTAGCCTTGAAGTTCAAGCACTGGTATTGGGGCAGTGAGTACTCATCACATGAAATACGGTTGCTTAAATCAGATTTTTTTACAACCACGTCAAGGAACAGGTGGAAACACTGACTCAGACTTGGCATGCCAATCATCCATTTAGCAAACTTTTACATCAGGATGTATAATACTTCAAGTCAACATAATTAAGCTTGATGAGATCACAATGCAAAATTTAATGGAGTTTCATAATATTTAAGTGGTAATTTTAAAAAGGTGGTTTCTACAACCATTAAATTACATGTATACAGGTAAAAGTACAAATGTATACATGTAGGTTACACAAAGGGATATTGTGAGGGTATAGCCGGAAACAACACAATGTCTCATGTTACACTGGTTGCTTTAATTTAATTTAAAGTAGTACAGAATGTCAATATAATTCCCTATCAATGAATGATGCTCAAATTTCTAGTTGACATTGACCACTAAGCATCCAGGACCAAATCTCCTCTATGACTTCACTGCTTAAAATAATTCCATGTTCTCAACACTAAAAATGTCAAAATAAATTCAACACAAAATACCTGAAAAGTCTTTTTTAGAGAAAATTAATTTCAGCTAAAATAAATTATTTTACAGTAAATTAAATGTTTCTGCTTACCCATATTCTCCTTCAAAGTAGAGCGCCCTCTCAGTTATAAGATCAACAACTCCTTGGCATTTGTTTTCCACACCAATCGGTAACTGTAAGTATGCTGCATTATGATTTAACTTTGACCTCAGCTGACTCACTACTCTGTCAGGATTGGCCCCCATTCTGAAACAAACACAAATACAATATCAATGTTGGTGTTATAGTCCACCCCAAATAAAGGAAAACATTATAACGAGTGCAGATATATTTTGGAAGGAATGGCTTTTTACAGAATGTAAATTCTATTATATTATATTGTATTATTATGTAATATGATTCATTAATTGTCTTGCATCACTCACAGGTATGCACAGAGGCAGTATGGAGACATAGAGGTCACAAGATCCATACTGTCTGAGAGCATACTTTGCCCTATTATTTTTTTTTTCTTGTAGTAAATTGGCATGATTGCATTTCACATTATTCTTAAGAATTTTTATGATTTATTGCAAGACAGTATTGAAGGTGCACTAAAGATACTAGGCTATATATCACTAAGAATACCAACAAAAGGGGTATGCATACACTACTGGTCACAATGTTTGTGTGAGAGAGTCTATAATATCACTGATCGCCAACTCAATTTCTTGACAAACAAACATCTTCAGGCCAGCTTTGAACAATTTTCTACAGTTATTCGATTTTTTGATCTTTGACCTACATACAGTGCAAATGCATTCCTGAATCCTTAGTGATACAACAGTTGTGAGGCGAGCTAGCGATCACTTGCCAGCTATTCATCTTGAAAGATTGTAAACTCATATGTATACACTCTTCAAATCCTGTGGTATCTGAATTACCGTACGTCAATTTGTGACATCATTGAAATGCTTAATATTAATAGCGAGAAAACCCTTTGCAAGGATCACAAGTCTCTTGTTTATTTCGGGGTAACTCAGCTTTCACTATTTATACCCTATTTATACACGCCCATATTTTTATTGAGTGTATGTAAGTCTAGCTTGATGCAAATGATGAGCAAAACTTTTTCATGAAGCAGATTAAGGTTTGACGATTTCAAAAATTAGCGTTATATGATTTTTTTAAATATTTAGTAGCTGACTCTTGTATCCAACCAAATTTATTTTAAAGTGTGGGCCATTATTTGTTTTATAGGAAAATTGTTCTCACTATTTAAATCAAGGATTCCTTATCACACTGTATTTAAACAATGCTTAAACATAGTAGTACATGCACCAAGACACCACTATTATTGGTTAATAATACTACAGTTCATGGATAATACAGTGCATGACATGATAAACAAGTGATAATAGGTGATAACCTTGTAATATTAAATGGATAATGCGATTAGAACTGTGCATGTGTGCATTATTTGTCACAGCTCATTCAAATGATATGTGATTGTAACATTGAGCATGGTTGTAATTAGTATTTTATCATCATAACTATGAGCAAGCCTGATAAATAATTCAGCTGCACAAAAAAAAAAATCAGGTCTTGTGGTCATGATAAATTTGCTATTCATTCCAATCAAGCTAGTAGCTCTTGAGATGTCAGTGGAACAATTGAAACAGACAGACAGGCAGGCAGATGAACGGTCTGTTGGACAGAAATATTGGTTTATATTTTTTATATTAATAAAAGTTACAAATAGTATACCTGTCTAATTTATTTATAAATGCAACACAAGGTACATTGTATCTTTTCATCTGTCTATTGACTGTCAATGTTTGGCTCTGCACACCTCCTACAGCGCACAATATTAAAACTGCACCATCAAGCACACGTAATGCTCTTTCCACTTCCACAGTGAAATCGACATGGCCTAGAAGAAAAAAAAACACAGTCCCCGTTAGTTATCAAATTTAAGATACATAGTTTTGTTTATAGTAATATAGCTGGAATATAACCATGTCAGGAATATGATTTTTTAACATTAAAATGATTGACATTTGTATCTGATCATCAAACAAGTACTTGTCCATAATGAGAGATATTGCTCTGAAAGAGCATTCAAAATCAGCCATTTTGAATACATGTATATATATATATAACATGATGTATAACGAATATATAAAATTTGAATAAAATCAGTCAAAGCATTTAAGAGATAGCCTAATCATTAAAACAAAATGGCTGCCAGTCAGCCATTTTGAATCTGATCTGAAAAATAAAATCAAAGAAAGCTTAGAAAGAACTCCCGTGTGCTGAGAGTATTGAAGAAACATTAAAATTAATTCAAAATTACTTGTACATGAGATATTGATGGAAAAGCTGAAAACTAATTATGTAAATCAGGTAACTATTATGAACAGAACGGAACAAAAAAATTATGAATTATTATGCTAATTAGAGAATTAATATTAATCAAAATTAATCAGGCCTGTCTATTGTCCTAGAGCATTTATGTACCAAATTTTATTCAAATGTGATGATCAATAATTGAGATATCAGTGTTAATTATGTTAATTAGGTGATTAATAAGCATAAATATTTACCAAAAACTAATTAGGTTTCTGCATAGTTCTCTTTAAAAGTTTCATTAAAATCCAATTTGTGGTTCTTTATATATCAGTGGAACATTATGCAAATTAGGTAATTAATATCCAATCAAAACTAATCAGGTGTCTGCATAATCCTAAAAGATCTATGTAGCAAGTCTCATTGAAATATGATTACT